ACCTTGGAATTGGGTAAAACAAAAGAATATCCAGAAGGAAGGAACACAGGGCTGTATGTTTGTAAGAATCTGGAACAAGACTTCTAACTTGGGTTTACAGAATACCAAATTAAAAAGATATCCTGGTGCATGTAAGTTGAGCAGATGGTAATCTTTTCAGTATCAGCGTCTATTTCTAAATTAAATTTGTGTGTTGTTGGAGAATCGAGAAGAATGTCGAATGAGGCCTATCAGCCTTGCTTAGTCTCTCCCTCAGGCAGCCCCTCTGGCTGGCTCTCCCCCTACTCACTTCAGCAGGCCTCAGGGAGGGACAATTTTCTCGTCACTGTATGACCCAGGAAACCCCAGCCCCATCATGCTTGTAACTTCAGAAACTTTTAAAAATCCTAGCTAAAATTAATGCCATCCTTGAATTTTCAGCACAACTTGGTCCTAAATTAAGTTCCTCTGTTTTGTTCTCCTAGAGCTTGAAGAGAGTGGGGAGGAAGATATAATTGTTCTCTCACTAAATCCTCCTTCCTTTCCATTCCCCCAGAGCACTGAGGAGTAGAGGGAGAAAAGAAGCCAAAGAAGAGAGGGAGGGAGGGAGAGAAAAGGGGGGAGAAGGGGGGAGAAGACTGAAGAGATGACGAGGGACAGGGAGAGGACGAATGAGAGCAGAATGTGGCGTGTGGAAGAGTGTGGAGGTGGCTGTGGCTGTAGCCTGGAGCGGTCCACCTCAGTCCTCCTGACACTCTGACCCTGAGGATACAGCTCGACCTGGACCTCACAGAGAGCTAGGACAACGGTGGCGAGACTGGGCACGAGTGCGCCAGAGTGAATGTGTGGGCGGACGGCTGCCAGAACAGGTGAAAATTTTGTAGACAATCTCAATTTCAAAGATTCTATTCTGGAACATCATCCAACTTTTGTGGTTGACACAGACCCTGCCTCCCCACACCCACATTCTTCCTCCACGACAACCCCATTATCCCTGTCCCTGTGTGTGCCCAGGCCCAGGCTAATCATTACAAGTCCTGGTCCTCCAGGAGCATCCCAGGAGAGGTCTGAAGGGAGCTGTCGGGGAAGCACGTTTGCCGTCAGAGACATGGTACTGAGAAGCCGCAGAACAGAACGGTGGAAGGCACAGATTCCCGAGTCAGATGGCTCAGCTTCACAAGCCAGCCTGCCTCCTGCCGCACGTACCATCTCGGGCACATGACTTAGCCGCTCTCCTCCCCGGTTTCCTGGGCTATACGGTGGAGCTGATGACAGCACCTGCCTGGGGAGGGGGTGGTGAGGACTGAGTAAGTTAATGGACACAAAAAGCACACAGGATGGTGCTTGGCATGTAGCATGTGCCATACGGGGTGCCAGTTATCATTATTTCACCAGCTACAAATGGCAGATCCACAGAATCACACAATTTTGGACCTCAGCATCTCTGAGTGGGGGTTAACCCAGGGACAAGAAGCTGACACTTGTGGAGAGGTGGAAGGTGCTCCATTGGATGACAAGAGTCTCTCCTGATAGATTATTTAGTGAGTCTAATACTTCATATTACAGACGAGAAGGCAAAGGCCCAGACAGTTTGGCCAGACCAATTGTTGCCGAATGAGTGAGGGGAAGGGAGTTTGCAGAATAAAACCCAGGCTCTGACTCCCTACCACTGTGTGTCTCATTGAGCCAATGTAGTTTGATTATTTACTTATTTCAGTGGTGTTTTTTTTTTTTTTGTGAGGAAGATCGGCCCTGTGCTAACATCTGCCAATCCTCCTTTTTGCTGAGACAGACTGGCCCTGGGCTAACATCCGTGCCCATCTTCCTCCACTTTACATGGGATGCCGCCACAGCATGGCTTGCCAAGAGGTGCGTCGGTGCGCGCCCGGGATCCGAACAGGCGAACTCCGGGCCGCTGCAGCGGAGCGCGCGCACTTAACCGCTTGCGCCACCGGGCCGGCCCCTTCAGTGGTTTTTTAATTTGGTTTTTGAGATGATCTGGAGAATCCAGGGAAGCAGTTTCAATACAAGGTGTTAAAAGTTTAATAGTTATTTAGCTACTTCTGCAATTCATGTAAATAGATGGATTTTCTAGACCATGAATGCAATGGGAAAAAAAAAATCTAGAGCCAACATTCATCTTTTCCTCTTTTTCAGGGGGGTGCGGAGAGTCCTGACAAAGCAGAGAATGTGGTTGTGATTGGATTACATGACCAATCATGGAAGCAGGGAGTGTGGTCTCTCTTTGTACCCCCTAGGTTTTGAAGGTTCCCTGAGTCAGGGGGCAGCACCAGGGTGGAGCTGCGGGAGCGCCTGCCGGGAATCATAGGTGTGGGAAGCTGAATGGGCTTCCTCTTTCAAACACTTAAGTTCCACTTTTTTTTTCTGTCATTTTGAGTTCCACAGACATTCAGTTTGTGACTGTTGACATGTGAAGGAAATAGGAGAACTCAGGTTACAAAATAACTCCTTTCACGTTGATCTTGACAGAACCCAGGAGAGGAAAGGACACTTTTAGCAGACAGAATAATCCTTTTAAACAGTATATCAGATCATGTCCATCCTTAGTCCAGGATGCTGTGATGGGTCCCAATTTCACTTGGGCTGAAAAAAGGGCCCAAGTTCTTCCAAAGGCTATGAGGCACATGTGCCCAGCCTCCGCTCCTCTCTGAGGGCCTCTCCCCTCACTCCAACCACAGTGCTCTTCCTGCAGACCCTCGACCACACCAGGCACGACCTCTCTTCTGCACTGGCACAGGGGTTCCCTCTGCCCCAATCTCCGCATGGCTAATGCTCTCACCTCCTGCAGGTCTTTGCTCAGATCTCATCTTCTCACTGTGAATCCTGTTTAGTTCTGCAGCCTGACTTACCCCGCCATCCCCCTAACACTATTTCTGGCTCTACTTTTTCTTTTTCTCCATAACATTGATCACCTTCTGGAACCTACTTTGTGATTTTCTTCTTTATTATGTTAATTTTTCGTCATCTCCTCTCCATTAGAACGTGAGCTCCAGGAAGGCAGAAGTGTCTGTTTTGTTCTCAGATGAATCCCCAGTGCCTGGCACCCAGAAAGACCCATAAACATCTGTTGAATGAATGAGAAACTTGCACAAGTGCTAGAAGGGTGGCAACCTCAAGTGAGATTCTGTTTGCCTGAGAAATGAATGGCCTTCCTCTGCAGGACCTCTTTCTCTTTCCACGGTAGGAGCTGGCATTTCTCTCTAGCTGTCAGAACACCTCCCTCCTTAGACCCAAGTGTGGCCTTGTGCCTTTCCTTTGGACTTGCGGCAAGGCTGATGTGCAAAGCCCACGGCCACTGCTCTTGTCATAGCCATCAGGCACAGTTCCGGGCACCCAGCCTTGGGCCCTGAGCTGAGATCTTCTCACTCTGCCTGCTCAGGAAGAGGGCGTGGGGCTCAGACTTCTGGGCTGTCACATGGAGCACTCACAAGTGAATGGCCCTCAGCCACCCCTGTTAAGTAGGAGCACTGCCATCACAGTTCCCTGTCCGTAGCAGGGGCTCTGGTGTCTCCAACGCTGGGGCCCGAGTGGGTTCATGCAGCAGCAGAGCTGGAGAGTCTCCAGCAGCCCCGAGATCTGTGTTGTGGATCCTGGCTCTGGCCTTCCGACTCTCCCATGGCTTGTTAGCACCTCCACCACAGGTGGGTGGGGGTGAAACTCAAGTCATGGCAGCATTGCTCATCTGGGGCTCCGGTGAAAGAGAAGGTGAAACCTAGGGGTGAAACTCAGGGTGGAGAAGAATTTCTGAATTTCATTTATCCCTGCTATCTCTAACTTCATTACTGAAAATAAATAAGATGGCTACAAAATAGGACTCACAAAGGAAGACAGAAGGAATCATGTATTTCATAAAAAAGAGGGAAGACTTTTTTTTTGTCTTGTCCACCAACTCTTGCTGTGTCCATGATCTCATCTCCAAAGACCTGAGATTTTTTTTAATAGCCCATAATTACTTAATCATTCCAGCTCTGCTGTTTGTTCTCAGCTCTAAGTGCCAGATAAACATGGTATTTATTAAGGAGATGGTCTAAATTCACAGCAAAACCAAAACAATTTGAGAATTTCTTAACAGTGATTCCTGTCTTACAATTAAAATGACATGAAAGGAGGAAAAAAGTGTTGAAATACTAGAAAATGGTTTCCTTCCTGAGGTCTGTTTAGAAACTCAAAACTTAAAAATTTAGATTTCAACCTGAGTTTTAGTTTTTGTACTCTAAATCAACATGCTCCCCATGCCAGCAATTCGCAACCAGCATGTGGGCTACTGGTGAGCCTCAGCGTTAAGTTAAACCCTTACCAATGTTGCCGACCACTTTTGATCAGGGTGGAAACTCAATTTCTGCTTTGGCTGAGAAGCATGGGACCGTTGGGCCATGTGTTTCAAGCAGAATAGGAATAGCTGAGTTGAGGGCATACTCAGGGTAGGGATGGGCCAGGATAGAGAGAGAGCAAGAGTAAGATAAACTTAGTGTGAAAAGAGTTAAGAAGCCCAGTGTAACATCAGTTGGCACCCAGAAAGAGGGTATGTCTACAGGAGAATGTGGAGAACTTTGTCTCGTGCGTATATGGGAGAACTCAGCTAGGGCGATGGCCAGGCAGGGACGGCTAAGCCACCAGGTCCATGAACCGTGAAGGCCATGTGACCCTCTCAAGTATGCCATGAAAAAGTCTAAAATCAAAGTCAGACAATAAGATTGAGAACCATCCCTCTAACCTTTTATTAATAGAAAATGTTAACACGGGGAGAAAATTATGAGAAGGAGTAGATTTGAAACCCTGCAACATGTCTTAAAGCTGGAATATGAATCTGAGATTTCAGCTAAAAAGTTACCAGATATAACTGAGAAATACAAAAACAGAAAAACAAAAAAAAGACACTGGATATAAAATAAAAATCAGAAAATCCAAAAAAAGACAAAGATAGCATAGGCCTTTGGGTTAAAAAAACAACAAAGAATGAAGAAATAAAAACACCCCATTTCAATCCCCACAGTACATACCTTGTAGCGAGGCATGTAAGTCTTTCATATTTTGGTCTAAAAGCTGCGAAGGGAGGAATCCCGAGCCTGCCTGGGGCTTGGGGTCAGGCTCTCCTGGGGCCACAGTGGGCGCTGGCTCCTTCAGCCGACCGTCTCCAAACACAGCAGCCCACTCTTCGCTGAACTCGCCCTCTTCCAGCGAGGAAGCATTGAAGATCTCACTCAATAGCAGCAGGTCATCTTTGTCAGCACCTTCAGGTTCCAAGGTCCCTGCCATTGGGCCCAGGCAAGCTGATTAAAGTAACAGAGCACAAAACACATCACCACCAAGGGCCCAAGCCCTTGGGAATAAACGCAGGGGGGTTGGGATGAGGCAAACTGGAGAGATAGCTAGATTTAAGAAAAGTTCATCAAAATATAAATTAATCCCATTATAGCCTCTCTTAAAAAATTTCAGAATTAAATTTCTAGTTCCCTTCTCCCTTATCCCTCTTCCTTCAAGGCAAGTTCAGTTACTGAACATCATTAGAATTGCACTGAAATAGTTTCCACAAAAACTCTAGGGTTTTGGTTTTTCCTTAATATAAAAGCAAATTTACCATCAAAATATTTCTCAGATATGAAACAAAGCCAGGATTGAAGGCATGTTGGAGCTCTTCATTCCTTGTTTGTATAGGTTCCTGCATCTTCCCACACAACAAGCCCTAAACCCACAGCCAACACGCCATGTTGCAGCCTGCCCTGCCATCCAGGATGTGGAGAGGACCCCCTCCATGCCCTGATTGGCCCAGGAAGGAGAGGGGAGCGGAGGATGTAGGAAGTCCCACAATGACCAAGAAAGGCATCCTTGCTTCTTTTCTCCTTTGCTGCAGCCCAACTGCAGAAAGCAAAGAAAGGGAGTTCTGCTTTGCCACAGGGCAGCAGTGAAAGAACGATGGGAAGACAGGGCAAATCACAGAACCACCTAGAGGATGAACTTCAGAGGCCAGAGACACAGCTCTGAAGGTTGGAATGAGCACTGGACCAGAACAGGAGGCCCTGGACCATCCTTTACTTGCTGTGTGACCTCAGCAAGACCCTTAACCCCTGTGGGCCTCTGTTTTTTCATCTATAAAATTATAATATTAATAACACCCACTTTGGAGTATTGTCAGGAAGACCAAAAGAAATTCAACCTTCAACATCATTGTCTATCCAGAAGGAGGACTTTAAAGAAGAGATCCATTCTCACAATATGAACACTGACTACTGAATACAAGTAGAATAGGGGCATTACTATCAGAAATCCTATAACAATTTAGTTTTCTACATATTTTGGAAACCAAGAACTGACGGTTTTATCAACTGTGACTTTGTTGTGGTATCTAATTGCCACTTGGAAACTGTAAACATTTTTGTTGTAAGTCATAAAGAGAAGGAACAATCATGATTTATATTTTCTCTCAGCTATATTGCAATTCTGATACTGTCATATTAAGTGAGATTAACAGGTTTCCCTCAAATATATGAGATAATTCGTAAATTAAAGCTTTATTTTTTTAGAAGAAGCTTTTCTGTTGGCTCTATTGGATCTATTTTTAACCACATTTTATATAAAGAGCTACAGATTGAGGGGAGTTTTGATGTGCTGAGCAGACCGGCTCTAAATCAGGGAGGGGAGGAATCCAGTTATCTCATATCACTGTGGTTTAAAAATAGGGGCAAAATATCACTGTAATCAGATAACTGTCTAATTTAAGCACTCTTATTGTTTGTGTTATCACAGAATTTGCTCCGAGACATAGCCTGTAGGTGTGGTGGTGAAGAGATGGGCAAAATGGCATTTTATTAACCAGGCTTCTGAGACAGCTCTGTAGTAACAGGGTAGTGCAGGAACCGCCTAGGCCTGTGCAGGGTGGGAAAGGCAGGGCAGGGCAGGCGAGACCGCCCATCTCTGTGAACAAAGACAGGAACCTTGGCTGTGACAGGGTGTGTCCATCAACAGGCATCTATGCATCCTCCCTCCCCCCTCCTCTCAATCTCTCTCAGCATCACCCTTTTTATGCATATTAACTTCACAAATCTCTGTACTTCCTACTTTCAGTTGGGACTGGAGTGCCCAAAACTTTTCTCATGGTTTACTTTCTGGCCTGACTGAAACCAGATGATTGCTGAACCAAACCCATTTTACTGGAACCAATTCAAATCGACATGTAGACCCTAGAGGAACAGACGCCTTCAAATGCGCATTGGAAATTTCGTGTTCCTCCTGGGGTCACTTTACAGCCCTCCGCTAAGTCACACCCTGGGGAAGGCTTCACTGCTTTCGTCTAGATGTCAATCCAGGGAAGATCATGACTAACATCAGCAACAACAAATAACAAACTTACAGCCTTCCAAAAATAACCACAGACTGGAAAAGCTCTATCTTCGTTTTTACTGTTTAGGCTTTTTGCGATGGTATTCAGAGTGGAGTTCTGTGGGTTTTGCTAACTTAGTGTCCCTTCCCTCCTCTTCTTTAGTTTTCCCTTTGGGGAGACACTGCCTCCCTGTGATCCTGGTGAGATACCACTTAAGATACCTCACCACGCCTCATCCCAGGTGGACTTGTGACCTTGGCTGTGGGCATATGCCAGAGGCTCCCCTGAGTTTGGTATACGGAAGCTGGAAGGAAGAGGGTTCTCTCTTTCTCTGGGATTCCAAGTTCTAAAACTGCAGTTTTGAGGCTCCCAGTGATGATGGAGCCAAACGTAGAGGGAAACAGCATCAAGAATTGGAGAGAGAATCCTGATAACACTGTCTAAGCCCCTGGATCCAGCCTTGCTTGAAGCCAGTCAACTACTGTGTCCCCAGTTACATGGACCAATAACCAATACATTCTTTTCTTTTTTTAATTTTAAAGCTAAACTATTTAGAGAAGGGTTTCTATTACTTTCAACCAAAAGATTCCTGACTAATAGTGTATACTATCGAACTCAATCTTGGTGACAGAAATGAGAAAAGTACCCGTGGTGTGGATGATATTGTCTAGAGCTAGTTCTGAATAGAGATTTAGTCTGCGGGCTACCATTGAATTTGGCCTATTACTTAGTGTCCTGGTTATTTAATAGTTAAATCAAGCTGCACAGTGGACTTTCTCTCTTTTAATAGAACTTATTTACTTAGCTAAAAGCAATGAAACTGGCACTGACTTGAACCAGAAAACACGAGAACCTCCCAATTATTGCCCTGATAATTAAGATGCTTGAAATTACTATACATAACTTGTAAGAAAAACTTAATTACAAGTAGAAAAGGACAGGTTTAGGTCTGTAACCACACAAGTCGAGACTTGAAAAATAACACTCATCAGTTGGCTCTTAAGAATCATGCTATCATTTTCTTTGGAAATAATTCAACCCCACCGTGAGAAAATGGGGACACACACAGAGATATGATAAGCTTTTTGAGAGAAGCTCTGGTAAGAGCTAGATAACTGGAGTCAGAGCTTCCGCCCATGCAGATGAGCAAGTATGGCTCTTAGGTTATGGCTCCCCATCCTGCTTTGTCTTAAAGGATGAACAAACGTGGCAGAGCTGTCAGGTGCCAAACCCACAGACACTACTCCAAGCCGCCTTCATGCTCTTGCAGGCTCTCAAGTCTCCATGTTTACTTTCATATCAGATAACCCAACCACAGACGTTACAACAAAAATAAAGGCCAACAGACATGATGTACTCAAGAGCTCACCTCTCGGCCTCCCACTCCATGACCCTTCATGCGTTCCCTCTGCCTTTCTAAGACCAGCCCTCTCTCTGCTCTCCCACTCCTTTTGGGAGCCTGCTCTGGTCCCACCATCATTCAGCTCCAGCACTGTAGTCTTTCATTCTCCAAGGCTTCTTCTCCCCGACCTCAGAAGATGTGCGCACATCCCAATAACAGCCAATCTTCACTTGATATTGCTGTCTCCCCCCGCACGCCTCTTCAAGTTACTCTTCTGGCTTCTTCTTCCTTCTACAGCTACACACTCTACTTTGTCACCACTCTTTTTCAGGCTGCCTGTAACCAAGTTCCTGCATCCCTACATTGAAGTGACCCTCTTGAAGGTTACCAGTGAGATCCTCATGGCCAATTCCAACCCCATTTGCTCAGGCCTCAACCTCTGTAGCATGTTGCACTGTTGCCCACTCTGGAAATGCTGTCATCTCCTGGGAGTCCCCATGAAGTAGCTCTCTTGGATGTCCTCCTATCTCCTTGACAATACTTTCCCTGCTGCCTCTTCCTACTCTGGTTGCCCTTAAGGTCTCCTGCTAAGCCATCATATCTCCTTTCCCTATGTTTTCTATAGAAGATCTTATTTATTCTCATGGTTCCATCTCACTTGGGAAGATTCTCAAATCTCCATCTCCAATTCCAAGTTTTTTCTTGAACTCTGATGAAAATTCCTGACTTGGGGGCCCTTCGGGTTTGCTCATTGGTGAGCCTGCTGGCACTCTATAAAAGGCACCCTCCTGCTGTATACCTTTGTTCAGTTCAGCTGTGAGATTATTACTCCCTTACTCAAAGCCTTCAAGGGCTCCCTCTGACTACTAAGTAACTCTCCTCACAGTGGTGTTTAGGACCTCTACAGTCAAGCTCTAAGGCAGCCCTTTCAGCAACTCATCAACACTGCCTTCAGGGAAGCCTACAATTAGACACAACTCCTCTGTTTGCCATTTCTCAAACATGCTTTCCTGCCTTCCTGTCTGGGAACCGGCTCTTTTCTCCCAATGAGATGCTCAAAGAGCAGAATCATACCCAGCTGAAAGGGATCTCAGAGGTCATCTCCTCTAATTCATTTTACAGATGAGGAAAAAGACACTTAGGCTAGATGACCTGCCCAAGGTCATATAATTTATTAGTTACAGATTATCTGGCTGGGGACCCCTGGCTCAGAGGTCAAGAAGTTTTCTCAGTGCAGCCCACTGCTTTCACTTCAGAGCCTGTTAAGGATCTCATATGTAAACTAATATTTAAGCTTTTGTAAAGTTTTGAGGGTTTCTATGGTCAGATAGCTCCACCGGCAGCCAGGCAAAGCTCTCAGCTGCAGGCAGAGTGGCCAGAATGGCAGAGCAACTGGGCATATTTGCCCTACACTGCCCAAGGGTTCAAAAATAAAAAACCCTATGCCCCTGGGAAACCAGTCCCTAGGAAAACCGATCCTGACCCAATGAGCCCTGATTCTGACCCAATGAGTTTTCAATGAGTGTAAACTGACATACAGGGGAAACTCTCTTCAGTTCAGCCAGAGTGTGGGAGACAGAAAGCTAACGTGGGAAACTGGTGACAGCCCACTCAGGTAACATTATTGAAATTGTACTGAGTTTCATGACCTCAGCATAAATTAGGAACACAGAAGATGGAAACATAACTACATAGACCAAAAATGAGAGCACAGGAAAACAAAGATAAATGTCACATAAGTTACCTTCATCTGTGTGTGAAACAGGAAGACTCTGTTTCTCTGGTTTTCTCTCTGGTCCCCACTCTCAACATTATGACTAATTGTAAAGGCCGCACACTTGCAGCACACATGAAAACCCCGAACACCAACACTGCCCTCACATCACCCAAAAGAGAGTATGGGAGGACGGAAGGGTAGGAAACCACCTTACACAAGTGTCTAGCAAGAAAAATATTCTGCATTATAAAAGGCTCTGGTAACAAAATGTACTTGTTTGGAATTCAAGAATACTGCTTCTAAAAATTCCCTTCTGGTGAAAACAAAAAAAAAACACAACCCCTCCCTCCAAAAAACCCCAACAGTGCTAGACCCTGAGTGGGCACTCAAAAAATACTTTTTGATGATCCCCAAGCCTGCTCCTCCACTTTAGCATTAGATCTTAACAAGTAAGCAATTTTACTGAAAAACTTGACACCTGAGGCAGGGGTACGTCTACAAAGAATACGACTGACAACACGGTGAAAGAGTAAGGATGGTATTTGGTTTTAAAAGTGCACCCTTATTTTATGAAAGGACCACAGCCAGCAGTTCATCCTAGGATGCTGAGCGAGACAGGGAAAAAGGAAAGTTTCTGAGAAAAGATAATGAGCTTAATATTTGCCACATTGAGCGTGAGGAAGCAATCGGACCCCTCGTCTGCTATCTATGGAGAACTGCAGGAGACAGTTCTGAGTGACTCAGGAGAAATGGTGCAGACAGAAACGTGTATTATTGCTGTGGGTGAAAGGTTCTCACTCAGACCCATGGGAGCTACTGAATGAGCTTCTCAGTCGTTCTGCTGGTTGGGGTTGGCAGAATTTTGAATCATAAGTTTGGAAGTAGTAACCAAGGAAGCAGCAGAAGACAAAACATTTTAATTGTAATATGGACAATTACAATTTTAAAAAATTGGTTCAGTTCGTCTTGTCCTAGAGAGGGATCTTTTGGGTAAGGCTAAGTTGTGGGATTTAGGTGAGTTGGATTCATCTAACTCTTCTGCTTTATACCACCACTTTCTGTTCAGTTATCTCACAGCTATTTTTTTTTTTTTTTGACCCAATTTTGAGGAACACAAAGACTTCTACACGTTATACCTCGTGAATTGAGGTCAGGACTGTCACATGTGGTCATAAGTGATTTCAGAGCTCCTTTCAAGTATCTCACAATGCCACTCAGTTTCTTTTTTACTTAAAACATTTTTATAAACTGGTCAAATCTTGGTTTTCCATTACATTTTCTATTTAGTAGGAGAAAATACATTTCATTACGACACTGAATCAGAGTGACTTTTCTGGGCAAAGGCTCCTGGAGAATTGTCTCCTTGCTGTTGTCATCAGCTGTCTGCTTTTTGATAACATTATACCACAGCTTAGCCATTACTTGTCTGACAGAATTACCACTGGGAGTGCACCAGCCCCCAAGCAGCAGGGTGCTAGAGCTTGCAGCCCCCAAGTCCTATAAAGTCAGCCATCCCTGGATTAAGCAATTTTTATTTCTTGATTGTTTAATGTCTTGCATATTATAATTAGTGTTTTAATTCAGGATTGGGGCCTTCTGGCAGTTTTCTGAAGCGCACATATTTTGAAGTCAACTAATTAACCAGTGTTCTTTTCTTCAGTCACCCGAGTTCTCTGTGCACTGAGAGAGTATTTTTATACTCATGGCCATGTTAATTTTTAAGCTGATGCAACCCTCAGGGTTGCCAATGCAAAAGAGGCAGATAGTGAGAAAGCAGGGCTCGGGCCTCGAGAAGGGCTTTGTGTGCTGGCAGTGATAAAGGGAAACGAGAAATTACATGACATTGCATTTAACTGAGAAAATGTGTAAATCAATTTTTCTGCCTGAGAACAAGTCCACATTCTGAGGAAGAGCACATTCATTTCCCTATCTTTAGAATTAAATTGAGTGCTCAAAAAAGGGATATGAGCTGCTAGTCTATAAAACAAAGACTGTAACTATAAGCCAATGAGGTATAAAAGTTGTTTTAAATAAGTAGCAAGATATCAATCTTATTCCAATGCATCTTGGCACACGCTTTGGAGGAATCTTATGAAAGTAAGCAGCTCTCTCAGGCAGTAGCATTTCTGATAATTCTGTGAAAAAATGCATGGCTACTGGGTTAGTGTTGTATCATCACTACCAAGTTAAAAAAGTCAAAATCCAAAACCAAGAACTTTTTTTTGTCAGATGGCGGAAACAGAGATATATATATAGACTCAGGTTTGCTTGTGTCCATGTAAAGAAATGCTAGAAAGATATACTGAGGGATGGGAATATTGGACTAGAGAGGAGAATGGGGAGCAGGAATGGGAGTGAGAGTTTTTTTACTGCATACATTTTTATTATCATTTTGTTTTTTGTACCAATGTGAATATACCACCTATTCAAAAATAATGTTTCTCAAAATAATGAAATTAAATAGGAAATAAAAGAAAAAAGCAAATTACATAACAACAGGTTGGGAACAGGAGAAATAACAATCTTCCTATCAAAAGAGTTGAAGCATATGTATGATTATAAATAATCTGTTAAAAGTTAAGACTTGCTAAAACCAGGCAGTGGGTACCTATTGCTTGTCATACTATTGTCTTTATCTCACCTTTGTATGACGGAAATATTTCCCCCTCCAAAAAAATAATTTGTAAAGAAAACACCTTTATTTCATCAAAATATTCTATCCTTAAGCCCAGGGGAAAACATTTCTATGAAAATGGAGGCCATGTAATGGCAATCTGCGTTAACTATTTGCTTTGTACTTTTTATGACTTGATGTGATTTCAACATTTACAAATAAGTAGTCATTCAAATAGAATACACATGGATGGTCATGAAATATTGCACAGTGTGTTGCCTGGAATGAGAAATTAATAAGGAAAGCAGGTTTCTGCCCTCAAGTTTGTATCCCTAAGTCCTGGAAACTTAATGCTCGAGTTCTGTTGCCTTTCCAATTTTGAAAAAATTTTAACCAATGTCCTCAATTTTCCAGACTTTCTTCCTTTCACAGTTTGGGAATTAAATCCAAAGCAAGCTCAGACTGAATGGAGAAAATCGTCGGCCCTAGTTAACTGGGGCCTTCAGGATGATCTTGGCCCATTTCTAGTCCTGTAAGAAACCTGTAAGACCAGAGCAGACTGTGCGCCAGCCACCAGGGCAAGGGGTGCTCTCATGTTTGCCTCGGAATCTCAGGGGTATTTTGGACTCACGGTAAATCATTAGAAGGAAACCCTTAGTAGGATGGAGAGCAAAGGCTATGGCCAGGCTGAACACACTCAATTTCTTGGGAACACTTAAGACTACGCATGTCTCCTCCAAATCCAGGATCCTGGATTTTGTTTGGGTCTGGCGAACCTGGGTGTGGGACTAGCCAGGCAAGCTCTCCCACTGCATTTTTAACTAAGGTTCAATGGAGATGCAGCACAGTATACCATCAGGACATTTCTAGACCTATTATCTCAACTGTTTACCATTTGAAGAGTGTCCCTGTGTCGGAGACCATGAAAGACTCTTTACATACACGATCTCCAATCCTGACAACCCAGCAAGACTGTTGCTGTGGGTCGAGTTTACAACTGAGAACAACAGAGGCTGACAGCGTTTAAGTGTGAAGCAAGTTACAGCCATACATATTATTTATGGTAAAACTGGTATTCAAATCCAGGTTTGTCTGATTCTGAAAGCCATGTTTTTTCTACAAATAGGCATATAACCTTTGACATAATAGCTTTTAGCTTTAGTAGTTGGAACATTATGTAATCATACTAACGAGGACAGATCCACATATACTAATTTCTGCTTGGATATATTTAAAGTTATTTCTAAAGACAAACCACAGTCACCTAAAAAAATTTTCTTAGGAATGCAAAGCTATTCAAAAGATAAACATTACATTTTCCTACATGTAAAAACAGTATTAAAAAAAGTAAACAAATTATAACCCCAAAGAAATGCATAAATCTTACCACCTTCCTCCGGTTTCATGTCTAACAGTTCATCTATAGGTCCATCAGAGGAGGAGAAAGAAAACAAAATTATGAGTCAGTTTCATTTTGTAAGGAGTCTGAGTCTAATTATTAAAATGGAGTTGTTTTCCTTAATCTAGATTACCTGAGCATGCTTTATGTGTAGAGCTTTTGTCTAAGGCAGATAAAACACTTTTTCCATCTTCAGCTGCAAATATAACATATGCATTTGGTTATCGCCCATTCAGAATGGTGTGTGTTCATGTACTATTGCAGTGTAAGGCAAACAGCCTCAGGAAGAAACGGTATCCACAAACGCACTCATGCAGAAGCAAGGATCCTCAGGTTACATTTTACTCAAGCTGTTGGCTCTCAATGAACAGGGAGCTTACAGCCCTGAAGCTTTGCTTTGTTTAGTAGAAAACTATATGACACTGATCTAACAATTCTCCTTCCATGGACGAATGTGTGACTTAAGTAACTGACGATTACTTGGTGGTGCTAATGAACCTTAGCCATATGGGCCTGGCTAAAATAAAAGGGCAGATTTCTGAGTGAAAGAAGCCAATCTGTAAAGGCTACACACAGCATGATTCCAGCTATATGACATTCTGGAAAAGGCAAAACTTTGGAGACAGTAAAAAGATCAGAGGTTTGGGAGGAGGAAGAGACGAATAGGTGAAGCCACAGGAGATTTTTAGGACAGTGAAACTACTCTGCATGATACTGTAATTGTGGATACATGTCATCATACATTTGTCCAAACCCACAGACTGTACAACACCAAGAGTGAGCCCTAACATAAACTACGGAATTTGAGTGATATGTCAATGTAGCTTCATCGATTGTAACAAATGAATTACCCTGGTGTGGGATGTTGATAATGGGGGTGGTTATGCATGTGTGGGAAGAGGGGGTATATGGGAAATCTCTGTACCTTCTGCCCAATTTCACAATGAACCAAAAACTGCTCTAAACAATAAAGTGTTTATTGTTTAGATACAAATACACCATAGAACAGCCTTAAAACTTGGTTTGCTCATATGTACATTAGACTTTCTGTAGGTCACAGAATAAAAGACAGATGATACTTCATTATGATGGATTCCATTCTACGTATATATAAAACAAGGTGATCAACGTTTACAATCTCAAAATATTATGCAAATACTACCAACAAGTGAACATACTGCACAAAGAAAAAGACAATTTGATCCCTCTCTATAGTCACATATTGTATAAATATATGATTTATATTGCGATGTAAAACTCAAATACAAATACAATAAACTGGAGTTTACATTTTCCCACAAAACTAAAATTTTTCTATTCAATTACGTAGACTCCCACAACATGATTCATGCTGTCAGCACCAAGGGATACTGAGGCTGGAGGGTATGGATCAATACAGTTGGAGAGCTCTTACATGGCCAACGAGATCAGGCTGGCCTGCCTCTCTGCCTTCTGCCACTTGTTCCCTCCCTCACACTCTAGAACACTGTTCCTCTGACCTCCTCCTGCCCCTCCCCGGCTCATAGTCTTTGCTCAGGCTATTTCTTTGGCTTTGACAGGTTTTGCAACAGCACTTGACTTAGCTACTTCCCTGGTCCTCTCAGACAGGTGGTCTCCCCATCACACATGCCCATAGCCTTGGTAGCTCTTGCCAAAGTTGGAGTTGTCCAATTACTCGTGTAATTATTAGATCACCACCTGCTTCCCCTTTTGACTGTAAGCCCCATCCTGGAGGGGTCTGACTATGTCTGGTATACCACTGTATGCCCAGAGCCCAGTGCTGTGTCCACCACAGAGGCGGCGCTCAATACGCATCTTGTGAACAAACGAACAAGTACGTGAGTAAGTAAAGCCGTACATGTGTGAACAGATGACATGAAGCCAAGCTCAAGAGGTAAAAAGTGAGAGTTTTTTTCTTTATTTCTGTTGAAAGGCAGATGGGAGAAAAGTGAATGAAGCAGGAAAGTGGGAGAAGAATAACATGGGTGAAGCAAGTGGTTGGAAAGTAGGAAGGAAGATAGAGGGTGGAGGAAAAGGATGGAAGAGAGTGGAAGTTCCAGGATCTACTTTGCCTTCTCCTATCTCCCAGAAAGACAGCCGTGGCCAAGGCGGAGCAGGGCAGAGGCAGATACGTCCTCAGGAGGCCCAGGCGGAACAGAGGTAACATTAGTTGGGGTAACTTTGGGGTAACTTTAGTTCTCTTCAAATCACCTGTAAAACTTTCCCCTGCCTCTCCAAGGATTCTGAGTCCCAGTGAAGGGCTCAAGATCACATCACCTTAGTTCTACCACAACATACCACAGCCTCTACACCTCTTTCTGAGAAGAACCAATGAAGGAACTGGCAGTAATGGCAGGAGACAGGAATAGCTGACAAGCCCTTCATAGCATATTGTATGTCTACCAATGCTCTGATCCCTTTTCTTTTTTTTCTGCTGAGGAAGATTCGCCCTGAGCTAACATCCTCTGCCAATCTTCCTCTTTTTTTGCTTGAGGAAGATTAGCCCTGAGCTAACATCTGTGCCAATCTTCCTCTATTTTATATGTGGGACACCGCCACAGCGTGGCTGGTGAGGTTCCGTGCCCAGGATCCGAACCTGCGAACCCAGGCCGCCAAAGCGGAGCATGTGGAACTTTAACCACTCGGCCATGGGGTCGGGCCCTCTGATCCCTTTTCTGACTGCATGAGAGTCAACCTGAGGGATCTGGTGTCACTCATTACAGAGCAGGCCCAGGAATCACTTGGAAGAGCGACGTCTGAGCTCTCTCCATCTGTTCCCAACAACGATTAACACCCACCTCAAACACAATGAAAATCAAACTCACTTGACGTAATCACGTAATCTTATTACAACTATCTCTACAGCCCAAATGGTAGTTAGAAGTAGTCACAGTGACAGCAGAAATGTCATCATCTGTCATAACAGAAATAGCTCTCTGTCACATCTCAATTGCGGATGCTCCTCTGACGGGCTGCTGCTGAAGAGACTAATGATGCTATTTTCTGGTTCAAAATATACAGCCTCTCTCAATAATGCTATAGGGTCGACATCATTGACATTGGAAAATTTAAAACTGAAAAAATAAGAAGGAAATTAATATAGACTTTTCTCAATTGGAAAAGAAGAAAGGCCTAGGAGGAGTTTGCCAAAACAAGACGAGTTGGCTGCTGAGTGGCAGTCTTTCAGAAGCAATTCTAAGTAAAAATCCATACTTACTCTTAAAACTAGAGGATTCCTTGTGCTGGTTTTCATCCTCTAATGAAATTAATCTTAAAATGAAAAAAAACAAAAGTTTAGTAATCTAGTTCTGAAAATGTTATATTTATGATACAGCCAGATTTTCTGTACAATATCTATTACTGCACTTATCACACACACACACACGCGCGCGCGCAAAAGGTGAACACAGAGTCATTTACATGCTATACATTTTATGAAGAAGAAAAAAATTTGCTGGCTTTCTCCCGTCCCTAGGCTGGTTAGTAGCAACTTAATATCTGAATTTTGTTTCATCATAAGGCACATATTCTGTGAATATCTAGGTGGGCAGTTAGGCATAACTAAGATAGATACTTAGAGTTAGCACTTTTAAACACATAGTAAAAAATCAATGGGCAAGCAAGTGCCCATCTGATTCTTGGTGTTATAGGAGAGGACACCTCATGAGGTTAGCTAAACTACATAAGGCTGAAAGCAGGATCACTCTCAAATCCAGGCAGACTGTGCCCTACTCAACTCTCACTCCACCTTGGTAAGATCATGGCAGAGACACATCAGCATCCTGAGACTCAGCTGGTGCCTCTCAACTTCTCTCCTAGCATGGTGGTTCACCTTTACCTGCTATTTCTAAACAAGATTCTGGTTAAATTTTCATTGTCATTTTAAATAGTTACTAGGTTATACTTTTTGCGTTTTTAAAAATGAAGTCCTAAAATAACGGAGAAATCTGACGTTAATTAAAACCAATCAAGACAATCTTAAGTAATTCCCTTCTGAGTAAAGGCTAACGCTTTATTTTGATGGCATTAACGTATATGATAAAAACAAGGTGCAAGGACTCACTCCAGGCTCTGCCTCTTACTACTCCAGGGGCGGTGGGCAAGTCCCTTCTTCTCTCTGAGCCTCATTTCCATCATTTACACAGTGAGGAAATGCCTACCTTGATTACATGGCGGGCTACCATAAGAATGAGCTGAGATAACCTAAATAAAGCACATGGCACTGTGCTTACTAGATAGTAGGTGCTCACTAAGTGGTATCTGGCATTATTACTCTTACCAAGAATAGGTTAAACTGATTCCCCCTAAAATAGTCAACTGTACTAGATTCAGATCACATTCTAGAGTTGTTCCTACAGTGAAAACTTGCCTTCATTCTGCACTAAATAAACTTACTAGTATTTGCTTTAAAATTGAAAATGGCTAATATTGGCTGCAAATATTTGTGTGGGACTATATATATATATATATATATTTGAAACTTTATTTAGAAACACAGTAAAAACATAAGCCTGTTTGACTGTAAGATTGTCATCTAAATTTTTGTGTTTGGAAAAGGAATAGCAGATAGAGGTAAGGTCATCTATTTTGTTTTCCTAGGTCAGCCACTTCAAGATTAATCCCGTTCCTGCAGGCTATGACATCTCAATAGAAAAAGACAGATTCACACTTAAACCTCTTCCTTGCTGTATGAGATTAGGAAACTTTCACCATGTATGTTGCAAAGCTCGTCTCAGCATTTAAAATGATAGGAGGCACCCTCTTTGTAAAGAGGCAAGAAATGAAGATGGAACAGTCACTTCCTGTACTCAAAGCTGCTCTCTGCTCCACGGAGGAGAAAACAGGTCTGAGCAGTAGAAAACAAAATGTCATAAACCCAACACTTGGGTAACACCTTAGTACTACAGGCGATAACAAGGCAATTTCAGAGGTTATTTCCTTCCTTGAGAGAAAAGCGGGGGGGGGGGGATTTCCTATCTAGGACAGGATCTTGTAAAGGATGGTGACGAAAGGACCAGATAGGGTCCAGAAACCTGAGATAGCACAGGAAGCTGGGGCTGAGGCCACAAGACAGAGAGCCAGGGAGCACTGGGGACATTTGCCCTTTCTTGCCCTGGTCAACTCCTCCCAAGTGTGCCTCTTCTAAGATCTCAGAAATGGGTCTCTGATTGGGGTGAGTGACGCCTGGCCTAGCAAGAAGATGCCAGAGGGGAGTTTGGCCTCAATTTTAATACATCTACTCTGAGAAGGGAGGAAGTAAAGCAATTACGCCCTGTCCCAGGCCCTAGCAGACTTGGTCAGTGAGGCCTGTACTGCCCTTACCGGTGGGAAGAAAGATTTTGCCAACAGAAGCAGCCGGGACTTACTGACTCGGCTCCTCCACTGCGGCCTCTGCACTTTCCTGCTGGGTGATCTTCTTCCTTTCTTCTTTCTCAACCAGTTTTTTCATAGGGTCTTGTAAGCTCTTGATCACAATCATGAAAAGGACAAAAAAAGAACGAAAAAGACAGATCAATAAAAAATTCAACTGCCACTGGTCCCAGCAACCAAACCTTGAATTGGAGGTTGGGAAAGGTTACTGTGAACCAATCAAGTGGACAGAAATGAAATTTTATATGTTCTCAGACTTATCCAAGAAATACTAGCCTAGAAAGGAGAGTTGTTTTGCCACTAGATTTGTGTATTCCCTCTTGTGATAAGTTATTCAAAAGAGAGCCTTTTGGCTATTGCTAACTTTATTTTCCATCTTTAACATGCAGCTAAGATAAACATTCTGTTCTGCTTGCAGCCCACACTCTGACAGAGAAGCTTTTTCTCCCCCAAAGATGTGACAATTTCATTTTATTTTTAATTTTGTTTGCTATTTTGCAATCTAAAAAGTTTAAAAAAAAAAAACACAAAACAGAGAAAACAAAACTCTTTTTTTTAACCAAAAATAGTGGCTTAACATATTCTGACAAGTTAACTCCCACGAGTGGACAGAGCAGGTGCATCCGACTCTGTAGATTAAAAATGGGTGAGAGTCTTTTTATGGCACACAATTTCTTGGAGTTACTGTTCTCAAGATTTATTAAATATTTAAGGAAAGACTTTTTAAAAAGCAAGTGCCTAGAAACTGTACACTAGTGACAAAAGCTGAAAAAGCAAAACATTTCTATAACAACTGAATAAGAAGTTATACAACAAGATCTCTATTTCTGGCCCTAATTAAAATACAAACCTACAAATACAGAAGAAACATCTCAAGATACTTATCCTGCTTATATTCTCAGAACTATTAAAATCCATCCTGTGGGCCCTCCTGTCTCTTTTCCTCCCTTCCATCTTCCCATCTTTCACTTCTCTAGTACGACACACACACAGAAGAAGGCAATTAAGTTCCATACGCCAACTCCGACTGATTAGTGATGGCTGACTGGAGGGCTGGATGAAGATGGTCTGGAGGCCGAATCCCAGCAGAGCAGAGGTGTGATTGATTTTGGTGTCTGCCACGGACACCAGATGGACACTGGTGTCACCCCTTCGAACTGCCAGCTCTGTTTCACTTCCTGCACAGAATAATTTTCCTAAAACACCCAGGCTATCATGTTACCCTTTTTCTCAAGAACCCTTAATAGTTCCTTATTTCTTTCCACTTCTAGTCTAAACCTCTCTGCCTAATTTTATAGATTTTCTAAAATGTGATCCTATCTTACTCTCCCAGATCACTTCCCACTAACCCCCAAACATGAGCTTTCCATTCCCTTAGGCCTGGGGAATGGATCTCCTACATGCTGGTTGCTCCCTTCTTGTCTTTGTTCTTTCCGCTTCTTTAATGAAAAAAGCTCTCTCTACCTATCTGTCCACCCTCAAAAGTCCTATCAGTCTTTGCAAAGCCCAGATCAATTACCACTATTTTCCATAAAGCTACGTTCACAAGGCACGCCAATTCAAGAGAGTCCTTCCATCTCCAAACTGCATTTACAGTTTTAGAAATACTTGATTATATTTATTCTTATTATGTTTTGTCTCTTAAAAATATTTTTTAAATTAGAAAAATAATAGAACCATATGTAGAATGTTTGGAAAATAAAAAAAGGAAAAATTACTCATAATTCCATTTCCCTAAAACCATGATTTATTATTTTCATACATTTCCTTTCTGTTTTTTTCATACTCTGGACTACTTATATAGTTGGAATCATTGTATATATACACATTTTTATAGAGAGTAGATAGCCTCTTAACCAATATTTGTGTGGGTATTTCATAATCAAAACAGTTTATTAGAGTGGAGAATATAAAAAAGATTTTTATGTATCTTAAACATTTAATATTGAATTAAAATATACAAGTGTACATTCATTCACCAATATTCTAACGTATGGTCAAGGTTTTCTCTTTGACTATATGTCCCCTGATTGGAGTTCCAAAGCATTTTCTTGCATAAACCATATCCATAAGGCATTGCCATCATTTTTAATGACTCCTTATTTCTGGACATTTAGATTAGTTACTCTCAGGCAATAATTAGTTTTTGAGCACCTACCAAGTGCCAGGTGTTTTTCTGGGTGCTGGGGATATGTTGGTGAATAAGACAGACAAAATTATCAGCTAGTGATGGGACTAGGCAGAGAATTAAAAGAGGGGGATAGAGAGTGATTGGGTCATTACTTCAGTTAGCAGGAATATCCTCTCTTGGAAGTGATATTTCAACTGAGAACTAAATGACAAGAAGCAGACAGCCATGTACAGCCCAGGGAGAAGAGGGGGCCCCGAGTGTAAAGGCCTAAAGGTGGGAATAGCTTGGCTTATTTGGGGAACAAAAAGAATGCCACTGGGGCTGCAGTGAAGTGGGCAAGAGTACAAGTCTTAGGAGGCCTGGATAAAGAGGTCAGCAGGGGTCACACAGGAGAACTTTCCTTTACCCACATTCATCAATATTGAACATCTCGTCCCATTAGTTTCATCATATTCTCTTGCTCTTTCTGTCTTTCTAATGCATGACAACTAAATGGAATCCATGATCCTTGGCTGGAGGGGAAAATGGTATAAAGGACAGTATTGGAACAAATGAGGCAATTAGAACATGGGCTGCAGTCTAGATGTTCTTTATATATACACACCCCAAAGCATCTGGTAAAAGCTTGGCACGTGTGTGTGCGTGTGTGTATATTTTGGAAATGTGCAACCATAAGGAGGAGTTCAACAGACGTCAAGGACTTACTCTTTTCAATAGATCTGCCAATCACGGCGTTTTATTCACACACACACACACACACACACACACACACACACAAACACCCCTTCCAGCAGTTTTATTTTTCAAAGAGTGGTCCAACCCTGGTCAAAGTGAAGCCAGGAGTATTTCCAGCTGAGGTTCTGATGGCTCCAAGACTCATTTTTTGATTCTGTGACACTTGTCCAGGCCTCCTGGTTTGCTCAATTATCTTCTCATTGCATTCGCTTTTTATCAATCCGCACGAGGCAGGGCCAGGACATGTCTGCTCTCAGCCAGCCGTGTCTAGCTGCCACAGCGCTTGCCTAAGCCCCTGAGATGCCCTTGACAGCTCCATGGTTATCATCTCTTCTGTCTCCAGCCTGACCTCCCCTCATAACCACACTTGAGCAGCTCTCAGACAATCCCTTTGTAATGTAAACCACTCCCTCCTTCTTTTCAACCCCTTCCCCTGTTGGGCCATTAGCAGGGATTCAATTGTTGGCTCCCTGTCACCACAATCACAGTTAAGTCACCATTGTGCTTCACCAACAGAATGGCTGCAGTTCCAATTGCTACTTTAATTTATTATTAATAATTCCCGTGACAATCTCTTCTCTCTTCCTACCATTACCATTGTCCCTATAACAATTTTGCTGTTGCCGCTCAAGAGAGGTGCTAAATATGTACTTGCTGGTTGATAGATTAATGTACATAAGGTTAAACTGCAAAAATCAGAGCTCTTTAGCTCGGAAATTCAAAGGCTCAGGGGGATAATATGAAGAGGTTTCTAAAACCACAAGCAAAATTAATACTGAGCACATGGACTTGTTTATTAAATATTAGAATTTTAAACCAAGGGGAATCGTGTGTGTTTAACACACACACATCAGCTTTACTGAGATATAATTCATATACCATAGAATTCACCCATTTAAAGTATATAATTCAAGGTTTTTAGTATAGTCACGGAGTTGTGCAACCATCGCCACAATTTTAGAGTATTTTCAAGGTGCATCTCTTGAAGCAAGAAAGAGTTTTAGATCAAACTAAGCTAAATACTCCTCTATATAGCTTGGGAAAAAAACACAACACCACATATAGAACTTGTTTCTTACAAAGATGGTATACATTGAAGATATAAGGAGGCTTAGAGGAAGTCTGAAACATCATGGAGGACAAATCATGTCCCCTTTCCTCCCTAAAAATTAGTTCCTGGGTGTGACTGTCAGATACAGGATATTCTCCATGGTGGACCACTGCTCTCCCCAAGGTTTGATGAGAAGGCCCAGCTGGGGGCCGAGGTGGAGGTGAATTCTTTAAAGTCCACAACTCAGCTGAAAATGCTTAACTCAGCAGCACCCATAAAAGTCAGAGGTGATAGCATTTTCTGTGTGACACGAACACCTGCTCAGGCAAAATGAATCTAAGAGGCCTGACTATCCAGACAAGGCAGCCATCAGATGGAACTATTTGGAATCCCCGGCTGATGGAAGCCACATTCAAATCCATGTCCAGAAATGAAACGTCAAAGCAATCTGTTTCTAAACCCCAAACCCACGAGGTCTTGCATTAAAATTGCTCATGAAAATCACTATGTATTAGCAGCAATACAGCAGCATATAAGACTGAAAGGTTCTCTGCGGCGGAAAGAATGTTTTTAGACCAAGTAACCTCTCTCTGCTAAGGCTGCACTGACATGCTAATAGTTTCCATCAATGCTTAAATGGTTTCAGTAAGCACACACACAATATATAAGATCAGCGTGACAGAGGAAACGTGCAGACCAAGCTTGCAAAAGTGTCTTAGAAAGGAAACAGCTTAATATAATAATGGGAGTTACTACTTCCTGTATTAGGAAAATAAAAGCAGCAGCAACATTCATCTGAATGAAAGCAAAACTACTCAGCAAAACAAATTCCACCGACAGAAGGCCAGCAGCCAGCCTTAATACAATGACCTAACTTCATGTTTAACTTTGACAACTGGGTAACATTTTCTGTAATCTTTAATTGTGACAATTAATTTTCCTATGCTACTTCCCATTAATTACACTGTATGTTCATGAAGGTGCCAAATAATTGTCTATAAAAGGAAATAAAAGTGCTCAAAATAGTGAGGCATGGTTAAAAGATGCTGAACTCAGTTGGGTGTGTGTATGTTTGTGTTTATATAATTGGTAACACATGAGGAATAAAAAGCAGAGGCCATGATGATGTGCACGAGCCACGCGATTCATGGACATTCAGCACATGTGTCCTTCCCAC